ATTAGTAAAACACTGCATTTTGGAGCACTGTGCGTGTATCGAATAATGTGGCAATGGCTCCGCCAACCTCTAATATTTTTAAGTGAAACCCTTTCATGGGCATCAGACAAGCTCGAAATCAATTAGGAAATGTAAGGCGAAGAGCGCGATCCATCTTTCGACCAATGATATTAGTGAGGACATAGTTAGCTAAAAAGCTCGTCAGTTTCTTCAAGAGCGTCACAAGAATTTTGGTGAATCAAGATTTAGAAGCTCAGCCTTTGATCCAAAACACTACCTTTGTCGAATGATGTTTGGAAAACTGAAGGGAACTAAAAAGTAGGTCTGGAATTTTTAACAAGGAACATGTTATTCACTTGTCTATAATGAAAATGCCGTCGATAATTCTACCTTTAACAGTCATCATAATCAGTAAATTACTTAAAGTCGGGTTTAACTTCAGGAGTACTTCCAATGATTTTGACAAACAGCATACAATTCAAATCATAATGTGGGTGGCAGGGGCTTTAAACTTTAATATTCCGCTTCTCCTAAAAAATCTACAACAGAGACTTTTAACTATACCCTCATTTTAAGGTTTTGCCCAGGACTAGAAGTCCGCATAGAAGACATTCATGCATCAGAATACTCTCTACCCCCCATATCTGTGAATCCTTATTCATACGCGGTTTGTGTCTTACTTTAGGCCAACTCTATTCGGTGGAGTCAGCATCGACCCACTGGATTGCTTGTGAGGTATAGTCTACGTTCGTTCAACATTAGGACGACTGCCAATAGAAGCGAAGAGACGACGATGCATTGTAGACAAAAATACAGTTAGTCGCCCAAAAAGGCTCGCCACTTCTGAGGCCTAGTTAAATAAGTTACTCAATAATAAAACAGGTTTAAAAGACTTGTGCTAATGGGTTAGCCCTGTTGCGAAATACCGAAAGTTCGGATGTTGAGGGCACTGTTGATCTAGCTAAATCTTAAATTCTGTCTAGGCACTTTTGCTTGCCGTTCAAAAACAATCACAGCATTCCAAGATGCGAAAGACGGAGGACCAAAACGAGCAAATAAAAGGTCACTAATTGAAAACCGGCAATAAGTAGTCTGGTGGATGCAACAAACAGGAAAATAGGGCACTGAATCCTAATTCCGCAAGATTAACCATGCTGCTCTTAGGAGATTTTCTGATGATCGCGACACACAGTAAGGACCGATATCCGGACAGATACTTTATCTTTACATAGTCGGGTTTGGGACTAAGATCGGAGGGTAAAAGTCCACTCTCGCCAACATATGTTTGCAGAGAAAGTAACATGTCACACGACAAGGCCATATGTAGGGAAGCTGATGGGAAGAGAAGGCAGATGTCCAGCAACAGACCTGTATGCCAAATTCTCTCAGACTATTTCCATTTAGAACCTGAAATGTCTATTTTTCCCTCTTCTTACGCTCAGTTGTCTCTTCTACCTTACAGACGAATCCCTTAACTGAGTAATAATATGGCTTTTGCGAAAGCAATCCTACAGTTCTTGGGACTCGCAGCAAGGGCAGAGGTGTTAGTGCGAACTATGTGAAGTACGTTTGTCAGTTTGGAAGCTAAAGATTTCAGGCACATCTTACCGTTCCTTTTATGGTCTGCTCTGAATACCGGACTGTACCGAGGGGAAGGTTTCGCAGAAAAACTGGACGCTTCCACTTTTAGATGTCGTAAACGCAATAAACCGTAACTGAGACTTAGATCTGATTGGGGTAATTGATGGGTGGGTAAGCATGCGGCTGCTAGTGGTTTAATATTGATTTGGGATTTTCAAGATCAACCTCAGTCGAGTTCCCCCCGGAATAATCTAGATTATGAAAAGGCAACGTTACGGGCGGATATAATTCATTCAACAGTACATCGAGGGCAACCGAGCTGATATGGCTTGCCGAATCGTGCAAGTTCTGTAACTTTCTCCGCATGAATGAAAGGCCGGAAGAAACAGAATAATGTCGTTTGTGGCCGCATTCTCTTGTTATATCCTTCGTCGACAACATGAGGTCAACTTTTACGGGGGAAGTAGGGTGACCAGTATAGTCATTTCGACTGACCAGCGTAATCCTTTGAATGGGGGACCCTGAATTCGAAATCACCGTCCTGCAGACATAGATAAAACTCCTTGGATGCGGGTGATTTAATAAAAATCATACGCATGGGAAGTTTCCTCTGCGTATTATTCTCTTCTCGGTCTCACAACCTTCTTCTCTAATGAGTTTAAATGTCCTCATGTAAAATGTGCTCGCAAAATTAAAGGTTTAGAGACTTCTCTAATAGCACATTTCACTGTCATAAGGGTTGAGGTAAGCTGAGATGGTCAAGCCGTGGCTCAGTCCAGAGGGTTTTTATACTTTATTCTGAACACTACTGGCACATGTGAGTACTTTCCGTGCGTAGATCACCCTGTTGAAACAGTTATGCAGGTTAACTACGTCCGGTTTTTCTTTTTGGAGGACTAGGATGGACTAGGCAGTCTGCTGAAGTCTCCGCCGTTGGTCCCGCCTTTTGGCTCCGTCCGACCTCTGGAACTGGGTTATGGCTCCATCCATGACGGTCTAGCCCGCTCCTAAGGAAAAGGGACGTGTTAGCAGGGACAAAACAGTACTTTTCCCAGTTCTTTTAATGTTTTTTAATAAGAGACGCAGAGTCGGTCCGCCTATTTACGAGGGTGTGAGGGCTTCGACAACTGATAGCATTTTTTTCGAGAAAAAGTGATACGTTCGAACGAAGTAGATCTCCTGGCCATGATGAGGTTCCAGAAAATCGCCTCATCCAATTTGCCTACAAACGGCCTAAGCCATAGCCGTTTGCTCCAGAAATCCTCTGTTGCCTGAATTTTTCCCCACGGATTAGAAAAGAACACAAGAAAAGGGAAGTCGTACACTATCGACCAATCACAGAATCGCTAACCGGGTCCCAATCCACCGTAGAGGCATAGAGAAAACTATGTAGCTTTCACAGGGGGACATCGTCTATGATGAACCTGCTGCACGCAATGCAAAGCTGGACAAAAGCGCCTGGCAAACATATTGCATGCTGTTCACACTGACTTTAGAAGGTTCTTTGATAGTGGCCCTCGCCAGCGACTTCTGTACCAGCAGACAGAAAAGTATACCAGGGGCAAACTTCTTAAATGTATTTAAGTCTTTTCGTTCATCGTTCCCAAATTGTCTGATTAGGACAATAACCATCGGGGCGTGCGGGCACAGAGGGCGGACTTTCAAAGGGTTTCTCATTTTTATAACTGAGTGTGTTTGTGTGCTGGACCGCAAATGTGCCATGTCTGCGGATGATATCGACGCTTGGGAAGTCATCCATAATATTGCAGAGGAAAGTATTTGCGGGCTAGGCGAATGGGCTCGCGGGTGGCTGCTGTCGTTTAATGTGGCGGTCCCACAAATTCGTGCACTTTTAAATTATTCACAATTTTACCATATTCTCATACATCATTGATAGAATTAATCAATTATGTATTCCCCTCCGTCTTTCACAACTTCCTCTGAACGCCCAGGCAGTTTTTCTATCCCGTACCTGGAGAAATTCGCGGATTTTGACGCAAAAATATTATCGACCCAATTTTGAAAATCCATGCTGCTGTTTCGGGATACCTTGCACAAATTGTTTTCGAGTGACCAAAGAAGATGGTAATCCGGTAGTGTAAAATCTGGAGAATATGGCGGATTCAAAAGAGACACCCAGCTGAGCTCTTCAACTACGTTTTTGACTTTATTAAGACGGCGAAGCATTAAATGCAAAGCTCCGTGTTAATGGTTTGGTTTTTTTCGAGCAATCCATAATAGATAAAATCCTTCTTATCCCACCATCCCTTTGCAAGGATGATGGTTGCGTTTGGTTCGAGATATTGCATGCTTGTTGGGGCTTAGCTATTCTTTCTTTCGTCTCATATTCACGTATATGCACCACATTTCACCGCCAGTTATAATAAGCTTCATTGTTGACGAGCACGGCGATGTCAGGCCAATAACGATGCACAAACTAATTCGAATAAAAGGGAGTTTTGCAAATGTTCATTTTTGTCTACCTGACACTCCACTTTCTCTAGGCTGTAAATAATCAAAAAGTAATTCGACTTAAAATGTGATAGGCAAATTCTGCTAGCACTTAGATAGGGCAACAAAATGACATATAGCATGAATGCATCAAGATAGAATTTTGAATAATTGAAAAGAGCACGAAGTTATTGGACAATCCAATATCATGTTTTAGATTCAGTCAGTCAGTTTATTAAGGGAATGAGGCTTTCGCCCTTGAGCTCCCTTTTCATATCGATAAACAGAAATAAATTCATCAATTACATCAGCAAATGCGAAAAGTTTAAAAGTTAGCGGTAAGCGTGAGCCAGGCGCAAACTGCCTCCACTAAAACAATCAGTATTATATGTACAGTAGTTTCTCAAAAAATGAGCATCCAGTCTACACTTAAAGGATTCGACACTTTCGGAAAGAACGACGGCATCAGGGAGTCCATTCCATGCCCCGATGACCCTGTGAGAGAAGGCGTTCCGTCGGACGTCCGAATGAGCCCGCTTCCTCTGCAGTTTGAAGGGATGACCACGCAGACGGTCAGTCCCGGCCAATTCAAAGAATTCGTTAAAGTCTAGGGCACACTCACGACCTCTGACAATCCTGTAGGTTTGAATGAGATCGCCGCGCAGTCGCCTGTAATTTAGAGGAAACAGCTTTAGTTCGGTCAGCCTGGTTTCGTAAGGCAAATGATGAAGATTCTTGACCATCCTCGTAGCCATCGCCTGTACTCTTTCCAGTCGTTGATAATCTTTCTTCAACCACGGTCGCCAGGTCTGAACTGCATACTCTAAGTGAGACCGGACGAATGCCCCATAGGTTTTTCCGAACAGCTCCTTGTCGATCTGCACAAATCCTCGCCTCATCGCAAATAACACCCTTATCGCACTTTTGACTGCCCTTTGACACTGATGATGGTTTCAGCGAGGAGGTCATTAGGACGCCGAGGCCTTTCTCTTCCACAAGATTTGAAAGGGACTGCCAACCAGGACGTATTGAAAGGAATCGTCCTCCTTAGTGGTCTTTTTGGTGCGGAGTCTCAGGACCACACATTTATCCACATTAAAATTGAGGAGCCAGCGAGCTGACCAACTCTTCAGACGGTTGAGACTGTCTTGAAGCGCGTACCTGTCTGCGTCAGATCTGATGGGTCTCCACAGCTTAAAATCGTCAGCAAACATGATGGCGCTGCATCCCAGGTCGTCGACGCAGTTGTTAATGTAAACCAGGAATAGCAACAGCCCTAAGACGGAGCCCTGGGGTACACCACTTAGAACGGGGGTAGGAGTTGACCTTGAGGTCTCAATGCACACGGTTAGCGATCTCCCGGTAAGAAAATCTGTTATCCATGTCAGCAGCCTTCCTCTCATCCCAATTTCAGAAAGTTTGTAGATTAGGCGTTTGTGTGGGACGCTGTCGAACGCTTTCTTAAAGTCTGTGTAGGTGGCATCGACCCTACCATCCTCGTCCAGTGCCCGAGTCCATTGCTCCGTCGAGAGCAATAAACTGGAAAGGCACAAGCGGTTCTGTCTGAAGCCGTGCTGCAGGTCTGAGATTAAATGGCCCTGCTCCAGGAACTTCATTGTTGTTTTCTTAAATATGGCCTCCATTATGTTACAGCAGATACAGGTTAGACTAACAGGCCGGTAATTGTTAGCATTAGTGCGAGCCCCGCCCTTGTATATCGGAAAGATATTTGCTGTCTTCCATTCCGATGGCAGCCTCCCTAATTCGAATGACGAGCGGAAGGTGTGCGCCAGTGGTTTGGAGAGTTCATTCGCCAGTTCTTTCAAGAATTCGGCCGGTATATTGTCCGGACCCGAGGACTTTGCTTCCTTCAGATTTTTCAGCTCCCTTTCCACGACAGCTGTCGGGAAGAGTATGGAGTCAAGCACGGGACCAGCAGTCTCAAAAGCATTGCTAGCACTGCGACTGCGAAACTCTGTTTCTCTAGTAAAAACCGAGGCAATATGCTGTCCTAAGTGTTCGGCTTTCTCGCTGTTCTCAGTGATCTCTACACCATTATCATCCTTCAGAACCGCGACCGGGTCCTTATTTTTCAGTCTACTGTTAAGATAGTGAAATAAAATCTTAGGCTTCTGTTCAGCCTGTCGGATAATTTTGGATTCATACTCATTCCGTGCCTGACGGATACATTTTTTGACGCCATTTCGTTGACGACGAAATTCTTCGAAATGCGCTGGTGACGCAGTTTCCCTGAATATTTTCCACCTTTTGCTTTTCTTCCGTAGCTGCCTTTTTAGGTCCCTAGTTAACCAAGCGGATCGACTAGTTGTTTTTTGTACTTTAGGTGGACAACAGCGCCGAATCAAATCGAGTGAAATCGTCTTAAAAGATCTCCAGTCGTCCTCCGGATCTCCTCTGAGTAATTGGTCCCAATTCACGGACAGGAATTCGTTCCTCATCGTATTAAAATCTGCCTTCCATATATTAGGTTGGCCCTCTGTTCTCTTCTGGCGTTTAGAGAAGAGCGAGTAATCCCATAGTAGCGTAGTATGGGCACTTTTCCCGAGAGGTGCATTGGAATACACTTCGTCGATATTAGAGAAGTCTTTAGTGAAAACTAGGTCTAGACAATTCGCTCTCTGGTTCTCTCGAAATCTTGTTGGTACCTTCACATGTTGCGCCAGAGGGAGATCGAGTGTGAGGTCCAGTAGCTTATTGTTGAAAGAGGCTGGTCCACCGTTAACTGCCATAGTTTCCCACTCTATTGCAGGTGCGTTGAAGTCCCCAGCAATAAGTACCTCTTGGTGGCTAGCTACGTCTTTGACTAAACCAAGGAGCGACTCATCCCCTTCACTCAGAAGGTTTGGTGGTCTGTAATTCGTGGACTCCAGCTTCTGCAAAAACGGACATTTAAGAGTGTTTTGGAAATTTCAACGAAAAATTTATCCTAGCCAACTGAAGCTGCAAAAGGACGTCAGGATGTACCTTGCCTGATTTTCTTCACTGACTAGCAAATTGTCGTCAATGATCCCATCTTGAAAAGGCTGAATTTTCCATTCATTTTGCCTGATGCTTGATTTCGTACTAACTTTTGATAGACTGAGAAATTTAGTAAGCACTTTGTCTGTATAGCCGTACCGTGTGTTATTTAATCTAGTCTAGGGTTGTCTAGTTAGGGAGAAAGCCGTGCAGGGATGGTAGGTGATACCATAAAAATGTTGAGGCCTGCTGACTGTCCTTAACTGGCACACAGCACTCATCAGTAATTGCCTAAGCTAGACTCAATTAATCAGCCACACCCTGGTAACCTCCTGGACCGGGGGGCTTAACCAGATGAGGGTACAGGTGTTGTGTCCCCCCCCCCCACACACCTGGTAATTTTGCTCCCATTCCCATACCTCCCCGTTTTATCCTTTCACCTCAAGAAGCCCTTCACTGAGGGCAACAGGCAATCCTGTAGGCGACTCCTGCTAACTCGGGCAGCCCAACCCCTAGAAAGTCGCGACCAATAGCGGATCTCGGCAGTCGTCTGGGATGTAGGGACAGTACTGCTCACTCCATTGTGAAGGGTAAGGGCTAGGAAAGACGTCCGCAATACTGAGATCACGTTATTTGCACGCAGACCGTGGCTCCAATGTGTACAACTCACGGTCGAAACAATCAAACAAACAACATACCCCCTCCCCAGATCCCCGTCTCGTCTCATAGGCTGCCTAAGTAACTCTGGTCACTGTGGCAGCCTGGGATGTTCGTTATTCTCTAGACAGCCCTCAGAGCGATCGGCCGCAAAGGAAGATAGTGCTAGTCGCCCCAGAACTGACGGACCGTAGGGTGGACATCACTGCCCTCAGCAAGACACAATTCTCTAAACAAGGCCATCTGGAGGAGGTGAGTTCCGGCTAGAACAGTTGTTGAAAGGCAGAGCGGTGCGACGTTGGCGTCGCTTTACCATCCGGAATGACATTGTGAGACGACAGCCTTGTCTGTCGTAAGACACGAACGACCACCTCACGACTCCGCGCCCGCCTCTTCGGGGCGTGACATTCGCCACGATCATAAGCGCTCACGCCTCCCTTCCCCCAATAACCAGCGCCGACGTGATGTAGAACAATTTATATGAGAACCTGCATGCATTCCTGGCAATCGTACGGAGGACGGACAAGCTCGTTGCCCCTGATAATTTCAGTGTCCGCATTGGGAAAGACCATGCTGTCTGGGGGAGAGTGCTGGGTCACCGTGGTCTTGGCAACGACAGCCATGACGGTATCTTCCTTCTTCGAACCTACACAGAACACCGCCTTCTTCTCACCAACTCCTTCGTCGGCCATCCGATGCGGGAGAAGTCAACAAGGATGTACCCACGATCGTGACACTGGTAAGTACGAAACTACGTTCTCATTAAAAGGCGAGATCAACAGGGCCTGCTGATGACCAGGGTGATCTACAACGTCAACGGCTGAACCGACCGCCGCCTAATCATCTCTAAGATAAGTCTACGAATGCAACCTCGCAGAAGGCCACCAGGTCAGTTAAACATAGTTCTGTCGAATTTGTCTGCTCACGGCTTCGATTTCAGCAGTATACGAACCTGGCAACTGGATGACCTGCAGGCTCCGGAGGATAAAACCATCGTGGTGACTCGCTGGCGTTAACAGCAGAACGTTATGCACCCCACCGCTCTAGGTGTCCTCGGACGCCCATATCGTCAACAACAGGACTGGTTTGAAGATAATTATACAAATATAAACAACCTACTCGCCGAAAAGCACGGACAACGCAAAGCCTGAATCGACCATCCGGCCGACCCTAGCAAAGTGACCTTCTTCAGATGTCGCCGCCTTGTGCAACAACGTTTGTGGGGGATTCAGGACGCCCGGATGAGTCGCCAAACCAAGGGGGTCCAAGGACATGCAGGCCGCAATTAAACAAAGGAGTGCTTTGCATCAATTAGGACAGTTTACAGCTTCACAATCAAAGGAACGGCGCCGCTTTTCGGTCCCGACGGATGAAACTGCAGATTCTGAAGCGTTGGGCCGAGTATTTCAGAAATGTCCTTAATCGCTAATTCCCGATCTCCGACGCCGACATCAATCGTCCTCTCTCCAAGTGAAAACGAACAACGACTTGGACGTCCAGCCTTCCTTCCCAGAAACCATTAAAGCCGTGTGATAGCTCTCCAGTGCGAAAGCACGGGGATCTGACGTGATCCGGACCGAAGTGTACAGACACGGCGGACCCCGTCTGATAGACAAACTAACAACGTTATTTCAGCATACGTGGTATCAAGGACAAGCTCGCTATGATTTAAAAGATGCGACTTTCGTCCATCTTTACAAGTGAATGAAGAACCGATGACCCTGTGATCATCACAGGGGGATCTCACTCCTCAACATTATCGGGAAGATCTTTACTCGCATCTTCCACAATCGCCTCAATGACTATCTAGCTTCCGAAGATACCTTGTAATTACCTATGGGTTCTTCGCTGCCTGCCAACTAAGACATAAATGTCATGGTAGGGGGCGCTCACTGATCGTTTTTACGGAACTCACTCGGTCCGTTGTGCCTTACGGGCTCTCTCTCGAGCCCAACCAGCAGCCGCACAGCAGCGCATGATATAGGCAGTTATTTTATTGTTATGTATGTCTCCCTCGTCTTTGTCGGCAATAGCATACTGCCTGCATAAATTCCAGGAAATGCGGACTCCCTCTACGCTACCTTTACTGACCTGGCAAAGACCTTTGACGCGGTGAATTACGATGGAATTTAAAAAATCGTGCAGAAATTTGACTGGCCTGAGCAATTCATGCACACGGTCAGTCAACCCCCGATGGCATGATAAAGTACGTTGCGGACAATGGGCCAGTCTTAAAATCTTTCGCAATGGAGTGACACTGAACTGCGTACTCGCGCCCATTCCGCTCAGTCTCCTGTTTTTTACCCTCCTGATGGGCGCCCACCCCGATGAGCGCCCGGAGACCGCATCGTCTACAGGACCGATGACCATCTTCTCAATGTCGGTGCATGCAGACCCCAATGCGTCTATCAACGATTACTGATAGCGACTTAATAAATAACCATATTGGATCGTTGGATTGGTGTAGCCTTCTCTTCTGTTGCGATGCAAACCTTCTTCGTGACGTCGTGCCCAATGTTTCCAAGGATATCCTAGGGTTTGTGCCGCGTAGATATCTCGAGTCTAATTCTGCGAATTCCCTTATTCCTTATTTTCTTCGCAACAGACTAAAAATATTGAGACGAGAGCTGTGAGACCTATCCACTAGTTCCTTATCCGTTCATCTTAGAATCACAGAGATTTTTGAAATGGCCTCAAGGATGCGCCAAGCGCGTGTGAGTGATCCGAACCCTGTCAAATCCGTCGTTAACATCTTCCGTCATCGGTCCTCCTCTAAGCGTGGTAACAAACTTCCACCCCTGGTAGACGATAACAAAATCTTCCTCATCGATGACACTGACAAGGGGAAGTTGTTTAGAACTTTCTTTTTCAAAACACCCTACTACTGAGTCCGAACCAGTCCCTTTTTTTCGTTTACTTTTGGATAGGACACTGAGTACAATAGATGTCTCCTTAGATCTTATTAAGAAACACATACGTTATTTGAAAAGCACACTGCTCAGGAACGGACGGGCTTCCAAATTCGATTATTAAACAGGCACCCGAACTTCCCATATTGCTTAGTCCTTTATTCTCGATTTATATTTCAAAAGGATTCCTTCCTAAAACATGGTAGACGTCAATTATCATTCCTGTCTTCAAGTCTGGATCTCGGTCCAAAGTTAATAACTATCGGAGCAAGCACGAAACACCGTCCCTGGCAAAACTTCTTAATATGGAAATTCTCAATGAAATTCTCGAATTCTATAATAATTTAAATTTAAATTTTTTTTATTTAATGCCAGTTTACAGGCATTGTCAAGGGAAGCGATTAAACATAAATCCGACCGGCAGTGAAAAAAACTCCTGAGCTTAAGGGATAAAAATATAGTTGATGGTGGTTTTTGTGGTTTGGAGGGCTCAGGAGAAAAAACTGCCGGCGGTGGGAGAATATCGACCGTCAAGAAGGGGGGAGGTTGCACGGTATCGGAGATCATCGGACGTCAACTTCCTTTCATGAAGTTGGGGATAGTCAAAGTAGAGGCGTTGAGGAACAGCTGGTGAGACCGGCCATAGTGTTCAGAGACCACAAACGCCATCGCTACGGTACAGTCGATCAGTAGATTCAGCACCCAAAATTTGTGGGAGCTTTTCTGAATGCAAAAATCGAGTAATAGTTCTCTTAAATAAAGGATAATTTTGCAGAGTTTTCGCACTCATGGGTAGTTTATTCCAAATAGCAATTGCATTTACAGAAAAGAACCGACGATATTTAACAGTACGTGCCAGAGGCAGAAATAAGAAGACCTCACGGTGACTGTTACGTCGTGGGTGGATATGATGTCTTAAAGAGGTGAGTGGGTTAAATGTGTGATTATATAAGAGTTTAAATAGCAAAAATAGTCCCTTTTGTAATTTACGGAACCATAAAGGATCGAGGCCTGTAAGCCGGCAACGTTCTTGGTAAGACAAATGTCGGTGTTCCGGGGTTAAAATTCTCTTGGTAAAAAAGTGTTGAACGGATTCTATTTTCTTCCGCTCAGTAGCACGCATGAGGCTAAATGAAAACGAACAGTATTCCAGACCAGGTCTAACGTACATGTTGAAAAGGCGCATTCTAATGTCCCTAGTTTTAAAATTTCGGAGGATAAACCCGGTCGTTCTACGTGCTTTGGAGACTATCAAGGCACAGTGCTCCGAGAGATTGAGACTCTTGGAGTATGATACGCCCAAATCCTTTATGACCCCTGGCACATTTATTGCGTGACATTCAATACTTAGTTGAGGTTGGCGGTCGTCGCCAACCACCATGACTGAGCACTTATGCCAAGAAAGAGAAAGGCGCCATGTGCGGCACCACTGGGCGAAAGAATATAGATCGCTCTTTAGGAGCTCAAGCACGATGTCATCATCTGCCGGCCTATATCGATATGCAACTTTAAGATCATCGGCATACATGAAAGGCTTACCATTCTGAAATAAATCGGGTACATCATTAACGAAAAGGCAAAATAAAAGCGGGCCGAGTACACTACCCTGAATGACTCCACTCCTCACACGTGTGGGCTTGGAGATGGTATTGGAAATACCATTTCAAGAGGAGAAGAGCATGGTCAACACGATCAAAAGCCTTAGTGAAATCGAAATATACTGTGTAAAGTGCAAAACCATGATCCCTAGATTGGAGAACATAGTCAAAGAAAGAGAGTTGACAGGTGTTACAAGATCGAGCTTTGAGGAATCCATGCTGAGCAGCACTCAGTAAGTGATTCGCTGTTAAGTGACACATCATCTTATCTTTGATCAATGTCTCTAAGATCTTCGAAACTGCGGGGAGGGTGTTTATTGGCCGAAAGTCATCAAATGATGTAGATTTGCCGTGCTTAGGAATGGGCAAAATGTGTGATTCCTTCCACAAGGTAGGGTAAGTTTCACTTTCAAGAGCAAGATTAAATATCTTGCATAAGAGGGATGGGAAGATCGTGTTTGCATCGGCTTTTAAAATGCCTACTGCGACACCATCAGGTCCAGGGCTATGGACTGACGAAAGTTATGGTTTCGAGAACTGTCGGGGTCAATGACTGGATGGTCGGAAGCGGAGTGGTCGAGTCTTCAATAAACGTTTTGTACCGGATAGCACTGAAGTTATCAGCGGTTAACTGGGTATCAGCTATAGGATCCCCGAGAGCGTCTCGGAGGTTGGGATGCTGCGTCTTTCTGTGAGTTCGTGCTCTTAGGGAGAAAAGTTCCGAGACATTTAACGAACGATTTTCAGTGAGTTGGACCTCTTTGGCTAGCTGTTTTTCTTCGGGCAATCTCTTAGCCCGCTCAATAATATCACGAATCAAGGGCAGACCGGAGACGTCGTTCTGAAGATGGAATCGACGAGAAAGTCTGTGCAGCCGGCGGCGAAAGGGTAAGGGTAGGAAAACCTCATCCCCAACATTAATAATTTTCTTACCGGGGACAAAACTAGTAATAAGCGGATCAAAAATTTTGCACAGTTTAGCAGTGCAAACATTTACATCCGAACTTAGGAAGAAATCATTCCAATCGTAGGAATAAATTTATGTTAATACTTTGGTCGAGCTAGTTGATCGGAAATCGCGGAAAAAGCTATACTTTGGGGACAACGTTTCGTCAGCCTCGAATTCCAACGTTGAAACATCTATGTCGTGGTCTGAGCCCCCGAGTGGACCTAGGGATGACACTG